ACGGCTATTTCGGATAGAAAACACCCCAGTAGCTAATGACTGCCGTAAGTGTCGTATAAAATAGATCTGGTGGTCATTATCTGTGACTTGGCTGATAGGGAGTCATCCTCCCCGATAACATGAACCGTTGCTCACGCTTTCAGTCACTTGTTTGCATGAGTATAAAGCTTGAAGCCACTTCTTGTCCCCGCCTTGACATTTCTTGAATGGCGTTGAATGCGGCGTTAAACAATATGACCTGGACTTGAAATTGTATTGTTAATGTAAACATAAACCATGCACATCCGGTTAATAATTAGTACAGTACTTGCAATAACAAAATGAATGTAACACTGCATTAGTGTTTAAACTAGACGGAAAAGAAAACGGAATGTTTAATAGTAAAGCAGTTGTCGCTCGTTCTTGATCTTAGCCCGACATACTTACATATTATATTATTATTCTGAACAACTTTGGCAAATACTCGATTCAGATTAGTCAGTCAGAGGTTTCAAATCATAAAAAAACATTTTCGAAGGAAACAGCTGATTAACGTCCGCATGACTGCGGAAGAGCATATATTTATAGGCAAGTATTTCGGTAGGTATTTTAAAAAATGATATGCACAATTATTGGTTACAAAATGCAGTGTTTTCGTATGTGTGGGAGTACTTTCGGTCAGAGAGCACGATTGAAATCGATTAAGAGGGTGTATTTCAAGTTTAAGGAGATACAGAGAGCTTGCAATGTGACGCTTGGCGTCATAATAGATAGATAGATAGATCTTCTTTATTTCCTCCATTTCATGAAGAGTACAAGGTATACAGTGAAAGGACAACATCTATAGTAGAAATGTGCACACACACATACATATTTATATTACATATATGTCCGAAGTAGTTCATATACATATGTATCGTATTGATTATTTGTGTTATTAGATGGACAATTAGCATGTGTTATTTACAAATGTACACTTGTTTACAATACATACATTGTTTAGTATAAGCAGCTTCGGTTGACTTCATCCCACTTTTTAACTGCACCGACAATATTTATCATGCTCTCTGCCCATACATTGTAGTCTAATTCTACTTCAAGCTGTTCAGGTAAACCGCCAAGCAGAAAAGTCAGAAAGGTGTCATCGTCTGCCCAGATTCTCACAAATATTTTAACATCAAGCAAATCAATGATTTTATCAAATATGATATTTCTTTCTTCTAAATTCTCTTGACATGACATGAAAACGTGTTTCACTATATCATTCGCAACTGTTCCACAAATACTTTCCTTTGATTCTATTGGCATTGAACCTAAGCGAACTAGTCTAGCTAAGGAAGTAAAATATTCTGGTCTATGTTCTCGTCCAGATCGTATTGTTAGATATCTTGACAGAGATAATCTGCTCAGAAGCGCATTGTTAGTGACATGTGGTGGAGAATTAATCCTAATATGACTGGCATAAGCTTCTTTAAGTCTCGAAAATACCTTTACGATATAGCTATGCTGCAAACGTTCACTGCCTGTAATATTTGAAAGTAAAGTATAATGATATAAAAAGCCAATATTTGAGCATACACAGCGCCATACTTTGTTGAAAGGTTATCATCGGTGTTTCCTTGTATAATCAGGTCGAATGTGGTAGTCGAACCCACAACCATGGAATCATGGCACGACTAAACTAAGGGACACATATCTTTACATCTACTAAAGGGAAATATAAAGTCAAACAGCGATTTAAAAATAACTTTGTGTTAACATATGGCTAAAATACAACATTTACTATCTCTTTCAAGTTAATATTTAACGACACAAGTGTCGTAGTGAATATTTTATCAGATAACGTAAGAGAAATTCATGAGTCATTGAAAAGAACCTGTTTTGAAGTAAATTCAATACATGTACAAAGGTATTCAATACTTGAAACACATATTCCTGTTTAACAAATACTTTTGCGATTCCTTGCGATTCCGAGGAAACTGCATTTAGTATACATGTTTATGCTTATCACTGACCCTTGATATAAAAAATAGAGACTTTTGAGTACCAAGACGTTGAATGGTTAACTTAATATAAAACCTGTGATATGATTAAAATGAACTGTTATTCAACTGAAAACAGATCTCGGTTATTTTTCAGGTTATTGTTGCGAATATTTCGTAACATACACACGGTCAGTATGGATGTCACGAGACTGGGCCTTATTAAGAGTATTTTGCTATATGGGGAGACATTATTGCTCCGGTGCTTCAATTGAAACACATTAAAACATTTACCAACTCTGGAGAGCTAACAATATCAAAGCCCTAACTACTATCAACGTACCAAGCATCTCTGTACATTTTCAAAGTCTTTACTTTTGCAAATATCAAATTTCTATTCAGGGTACCTATATAGGGCCTGTACCCATTATTTTCCATTTTTAAACCAAGATGACCAAATTGTATTTTCAAGAAGACTGGAATTCTAGCTCTCAAAGATGTGTCTATTTCAATTGTTTGCAATACGATTAGCTGTACGTATATGGTCCTGTCATCTTGACATTGATAAAATATACTGACACGAGTAAATAAAAATGAACTCGTACCCTCGTTGTTGGTCTGTATAATTAGAATCTGAATTTTATGTGGTAGACAAGCGCGGTTTCATAAATCATCACTGCTTTTAAGATAAAGCGATTTATCATATTATAAGTAAGATAGATATCTCCATGTACTAGGTTATTGTTATCTAAATAACCTAAATAGATTTTAATTAAGAAGTTAACCAAACAAATGCTCGATACACGAACTGGTTAATCGAAGTAAATGTAATTGATGAGGGAGACAAATACGTTTGACACAGGGTAAAGATTCTCTCCTCGGGATCGGGACATGGATGGAATTTATTAAGTTCAGCTTCATTTCAACAGTTATTTAAGTTTTTTTACACTTTGCCGTAGATATAGTACTATTGAGAAAATCTTAATTTCGGGAACTTTGTTCAATATGTGAAAATACACCTTATTGTATTCTTTATGATGCTTGACATCAATGTATTCGTCACAGTGGATACAAGACTAGAAACGTCAGCTGTCATTTTCCGGTATCGTGTGTGGGTAACGTAGCTTTAGTATGAAGCCAGTTTAAGTTCAGTTCAAATAGATAAAGACATGAGTTGTTACACAAGTATGAACCAACACTTTGATTTTTTTCATTTCAAATGAAACAGTTATTAAGTTAAAGGCATCTTACTAAAAACGCAACACAATAACAACTATTTTACAAATGCAATTGAAGTGGCGGGTGACCAACATCTTTAAGTGAGTGAGTTTGGTTTAATACCGCATTGAAAAGTATTTCTGTTGTGTCACGGCGTGTCAGCTTGATGTGGAAGAAAGCCACAAGCGGTGCAGGTCTCAGACGTTTACCACGTTATGATTATTGAAAACAACCACTATAGGTATGGTGTTGAAAAAGCTAGAAGCATAATCAAGGCGAATATGGTATCAGAAGCCCCCGACCACAGGTTTCTGGCGCGCCTAAGAAACGCAACTCAGAATTGCGTCGCCTTAGAAGACTGGGCCACCTGTGCCCCCTCATCACACTGAAGTACCACACCCTAAATATTATTTCTGTCCCTCGCTTTGTCATTGCCACACACCTGCTTAATCTGTCATGGAATATATGAAAATATCACCATTCATAAAGAAGTAACATTACAGAACCAAGAGTAATATCGAAACAAGCGTATGGATGAAAATCAATTTATCGAAAGAGACCAATCTGTTAATCCATCTCTGCATATCGTCAAGCGCACAGAGGACAGGGAACCATATTGAATGAGGCATATGAGTCAGTGCGTGACATTGATTTCGTTGACCTAACTAAGTCACAGGGGAATTCTGTGCCGGCACACCAGTGTTATAACTATTGTTATATAAAATATAAGTGTATTGCACCATTCTTATGCTGGGATCACAATACATTTACATGCACAACATTCATAAATTCAGTTGAGGTGAGGTGAAACGGCGTTTAACGTATACTTCAATATTAATGCGCTTAAGTAGTTGTGTGCATGCATGCATGCGCGTGCGTGCGTGCGTGCATGAATGTGTGTGTGTGTGTGTGTGTGTGTGTGTGTGTGTGTGTGTGTGTGTGTGTGTGTGTGTGTGTGTGTGTGTGTGTGTGTGTGTGTGTGTGTGTGTGTGTGTGTGTGTGTGTGTGTGTGTGTGTGTGTGTGTGTGTGTGTGTGTGTGTGTGTGTGTGTGTGTGTGTGTGTGTGTGTGTGTGTGTGTGTGTGTGTGTGTGTGTGTGTGTGTGTGTGTGTGTGTGTGTGTGTGTGTGTGTGTGTGTGTGTGTGTGTGTGTGTGTGTGTGTGTGTGTGTGTGTGTGTGTGTGTGTGTGTGTGTGTGTGTGTGTGTGTGTGTGTGTGTGTGTGTGTGTGTGTGTGTGTGTGTGTGTGTGTGTGTGTGTGTGTGTGTGTGTGTGTGTGTGTGTGTGTGTGTGTGTGTGTGTGTGTGTGTGTGTGTGTGTGTGTGTGTGTGTGTGTGTGTGTGTGTGTGTGTGTGTGTGTGTGTGTGTGTGTGTGTGTGTGTGTGTGTGTGTGTGTGTGTGTGTGTGTGTGTGTGTGTGTGTGTGTGTGTGTGTGTGTGTGTGTGTGTGTGTGTGTGTGTGTGTGTGTGTGTGTGTGTGTGTGTGTGTGTGTGTGTGTGTGTGTGTGTGTGTGTGTGTGTGTGTGTGTGTGTGTGTGTGTGTGTGTGTGTGTGTGTGTGTGTGTGTCTGTTTGTACCAGTCCGGAATAATGCCGATTTTATAGTGCCTGGCCCACTTAGATACCATGCCGCTGTTTAACATGAATATCCACTGAGAAATATTATACTGACCAGTCCTTGTTTTATCAGGGTTACAGGGTAACAACAAGACGGCATACTTTGAAGTCTTCTGTCGGCCAGGTGAATGATTTCTATAGAATATTCGTTACATGTAATACAACTACCAAAATTTCCACAATCATTGAATAATACAACTTACAATATATACAATGTAACGTCAAATTTATTGCCCATTCGTTAATTGATACAAAAACATATCAATAAAGTACAAAAACATTCATACATCAGGCATGCCAAGCATACGCTTCTAGTGGTAGTAATAGGGAGTGGCTTTGCCAACGAACGACCCAGCAACTCCATGACCAACGAAAGGTCCACCATGTCCATAAATGCCGTGTCCGGCTACTCCGTGTCCGACGAAAGGTCCATGTCCAGTAAATCCATTTCCTACAAGACCAGCTCCATGTCCGACGTTCTTACCGTAGCCGTAGTTATTGTTGTAGGGGTTGTAACCGTAGCCATGTCCCTGACCAGCAACACCGTGGCCACCGACTGCGAGGGGTCCTGCGAGTCCGTGTCCGGCGAGTCCAAGGAGTCCATTTCCTACAAGGCCAACTCCATTCCCAACTCCATTGTAGGTGTTGTAGCCATAACCATGTCCCTTTCTAGCAACAAAGGGTCCGTGTCCTGCGAATGAACCAGCATGACCAACGAAAGGTCCGTGTCCAACAAGACCAACTCCATGTCCAGCAACGAAGGGACCGGCAACACCGACTTTCCCAACGCCTTTACCGTAGCCATAGCTGTTGTAACCATGGTTCCTGTTGTATGGGTTGTAACCATAGCCTTTACCAGCAACACCGACAGTGCCGACTCCGAAGGATCCAGTTCCGAAAGGCACCTGAGCCAACGCAGAAGCTACTAGCAGGGACAACGCAGCGATGACGGCCTGAATGTAACAAATACATTAGAGTTCAAAATTCAAACACGGTTTTATATATATATGACAGCTCTTCAGTGTAACTGTCATGAGACAGCGAAAGTACTATGTATGAAACTGATATAAAGAAGATGATGGACTAACGTGGACTTTATTATTTTATTATATATTACATGTACACCGAGTGAACATTTACCTCATTTTTGTGTGTGTGTGTATATATATATATATAAGCAAATGCACAAACTTTGTGAACCTCGTATCTTCGATTTGACAATTTTTTTAACAAACGTTATCCCACCGTTACAAGGCTGAAAACAGTCATGGAAACACTGAAGGCGTGAAGTCCAAAACACAACTATCATACCCGTATCAATACATCACTATCGAATGACAACTTATTGTTTGCTTCATTTGTAGCTAGAATCAAACATGAGCGTACACTTTCTTTTGCAAAGCAGTTTATTAGTGTTATTACGTTACGAACATAAACTATGTACAATGAAATGATGTACTCGTTGCACAAAATAGATCAGCGCTTGTCGTCAGGTTGGTGACCTTACTTTTTTAAACACAGAATCTGATTCGTTAATGAAAACTGTGAACAGATTATTGAGATTTACTTGTACATCAAATACGAATCAATTAATTGCTGCAGATTTTCCTTTCCTTGTCATTTGTTTAACCAACCCACATCACTGTCCATCACATCTATGTAACCCCGTGCTTCGCTTTACCTTAATATGCTGAGTTATCCCCACTTCGTTACAAGCGGTTGCTTCATTTAGACAAGAAATTTTAGTTAAGAATTGAAATTGATTGAATTAGAAAAAAACAGTGTAGTATATTTAAACGCATTGAACTTGACTGAGAGAACACATTAGATGGTTGCATGACTGTCGGTACAATGGTATCTTACCTTCATGATGAACAGACTTGACTAGACGATACACCAGTGTTGAGATGACTGATACCTCCAGTGTGGTGCTCCACATTTATATACCCTCAACAGGGTCACGTGATCTTTACCCCTACAGTTATATGTATCACGTGACCAATCGTTTAAGTGAATATTTGAATAGTTGCGCAACTCAACGTTCGTTGTGCCATTAAGCAGAATTTAATCACGACAGTGTTAAAGCCTAAACTATTGTCATACCATTGAAAACCTCATATATGTTTTTCAACTCTAATAATATATTTCAAAAACTGTTTCAACCATAATTCAATTACATTACACATGTATCGTAGGTTCCAATTCCATAACTCCTTTTTCAGCGTCTGCTCAAACATCGCATTACACTTTCCTTGCACAAGCAACACACGTTCAGGCTTTCCACGACAGAATGAAAGAAGATTGACACACAACTATACAAATATTTATCATCTTGGGACAAAGACACCAATCCAGGTTTTTTATGCTAGCAAGAAAAAACAACAACTTTGCTCGGTGTTTGCTAGTATTAGTGTGTTCGTGTTGTTCATAAATATTCATTTGGGAAAGTAAGTTCAGTGTGTGTTTTTAGACTGGAGATTCAATTTGAAGTGAAAGTGTGAATATTCTTCTTTTTTAAAAGGCTACAATGTGTGTGTGTTTACAAATCAATCGCGTTCTGGTAAACATTTACAATTATAGTATTTTCATCCGTTTAGCAGTAGCCGTAGTGCGTGTAGATCACGATAACAGTCGCAGTAACACTTAAAAACGACACAGAAGAAACTGCATGCATGCAAAATTCAAATGACTCCACATACACACATAAACTAAACAATAAGATAAGAATGTTAGAAGTGTCCTAATTGCTTTTCATGAAAAGAATGACCACAAACTGTTTAGTCTCAAGTCAGATCATCCTAAGTGTAGTCGAACATACAAAACATCAACATCAACAATAATATCAAAAATGAAGCATCAACTACAATAAGGATGTCAAGAGTGAACACATAAATAAACATTTCTTATCTGTTTCATTGTAGACACCATCAAACAAGGGAGTATAGTTTCTTCTGTCCGGGAATTTATGTATCTTTTAGACATTCTGGGCAATAGTTGTGATACATAAAAACTTGTGATGGTTTTGATATTTAGAGATTGGTTTTATTAATAACACTAAGATACAGTCTTGGCATTTTTAACTTTTCATTTTCTCCACACACCAGGTCCATATAGATCTGGAGGCTGGAATAGGGTTCAGCCAACCAAAGTAATTACCAATATCATACTTGACACTAATAAATCTATTCACTTATCCCCCACACAAGTGTTGAGTTTAAGCGGCCATTTTGAACTCATGTGTATACTACATTGTCTTTTTATAATCCCCAAGAAACATGAACATATATTTCTTACTTCAACTACTTTGTTTCCTTCAACTGAACTTTAGTTATATTTAAGCATTCACTTTATTGCATACGAATGAATTATTTGTAATAGACTCTAGATCTGCAACTCCGGTAGACAGCTTCTTGCAAAAACATGGTGATCATCTGCAAGAAGTCCTGGTCATTGGTCCCACGGCAATCTTAATAATCCATATTCAATTTTTAAAATAATTCATTCTGTTTTTATGTTTGCAACTAAATATAAGACTATTTATTGATTTGTTTTTACATGGGTGATTCCAATACCAATTGGAGGTATTATGCTATAGTAGTGGTAGTCGCAGTACATGTAGTAGTAGTAGTAGCAGTTAATGTAGTAGTAGTTGTAGTAGTAGTAGTAGTTGTAGTAGTAGTAGTAGTAGTAGTAGTAGTAGTTGTTGTAGTGGTAGTAGTGGTTAAAGTAGTGGCAGTACTAGTGGTTGTTTTACTGTGTTGTTAAACGCTGACTGACAATGTGGAGGTTATCTTTTGAAAAATCATACACAAAGTATATGTAGTAGTAGTAATAGTAGTAGGAGTAATAATACTAGTAGTAGTAGCTTTGATTGTTGTAGTAGCTGTAACAGTAGTAGTAGTGTAGTGGTTATAGTAGTAATAGTACTCGTAGTTGTCTGACAAAGCGGAGGTTGTCTAGTGACAAATCGTTCACATAGTAGTAGTAGTAGTAGAAGTAGTAGTAGTAGTAATAATACTAGTAGCAGCTTTTGTAGTGGTAGTAATAGCAGTAGTAGCTGTAATAGTAGTAGTAGTTGTTGTAGTAGTTGTAGTAGTAGCAGTAGTAGTAGTAGTAGTAGTTGTAGTGGTAGTAGTGGTAAATGTAGTGGCAGTACTAGTGGTTGTTTTACTGTGTTGTTAAACGCTGACTGACAATGTGGAGGTTATCTTTTGAAAAATCATACACAAAGTATATGTAGTAGTAGTAATAGTAGTAGGAGTAATAATACTAGTAGTAGTAGCTTTGATTGTTGTAGTAGCTGTAACAGTAGTAGTAGTAGTGTAGTGGTTATAGTAGTAATAGTACTCGTAGTTGTCTGACAAAGCGGAGGTTGTCTAGTGACAAATCGTTCACATAGTAGTAGTAGTAGAAGTAGTAGTAGTAGTAATAATACTAGTAGCAGCTTTTGTAGTGGAAGTAATTGCAGTAGTAGCTGTAATAGTAGTAGTAGTTGTTGTAGTAGTAGTAGTAGTAGCAGTAGTTGTAGTAGTAGTAGTAGTAGTAGTAGTAGTAGTAGTAGTAGTAGTAGTACTGGCAGTTGTTTTACTGTGTTGTTGAACGCTGTCTGACAAAGCGGAGGTTATGCAGTGACTAATAGTACACAAGTTTATTTAAGTTAAGAAAGTAATAGCAGATATTAAGTCAAATGTTTGCTACAACCTTAGGACTAAACATTCTAAAATGGTTTCCACAAAAATGAGTTTAATTTAGAGAAAACCTTTGATGACATGGGATACATTCCTCGCCCGGGGCAACACGTTCGACGCTATTTGGACGACCCTTTGTGTCGATATTATATCCGCAGGCTTAAATCTTTAATGCGATGTGGTATACATGATGCAAATTCACAGCGTCAGTTTCGACCTCAATGGTTAGTAATTACTTTTATTAAATACCCTATAAACGTTGTGTTGAATGTATTAGTTTGGTTGCATTAACATGCTGACAATTGATGACTGAATTGTTTAACCTCCGGATTGGATGTTAAGAAGTGAGTGTTGAACTGAGTAAATATGCAAAGGTGAATGACACATAATCACATAAAGCGGGAACATTGACCCGTCAGTACCCCTACAGGCATCTCTGAAAAAAAACCACTAACATAAAACTCATAAACATTTTGAATTTTTAAATATGCACATTGTCAGGACCGATGCTAAATATGATAATTGTTAAAATGATATTTTCGTGAATCGCTTATACAATCGTGTACTGTTATATCAGCGTGAAATAACTAATCAGTCCATGTATATTTTTACCCGACAAACATAGCTGATCTATACTTAGTTTAATAGAAATAATAATAAAGCGACAAAACCCTTTCGATATCCAAAAGAAACCTCTGTACAAAGCAGACTCGATTGTACGATCCCGACTATATCATGAGCGTGTGTTGATGAATCACTATCAAATAGCAATGATACCAGATGTTCGCGAAAAGGTGAGCATACCCTGCCCCACAGTGGCACCCGTCACAAATACATGCAAAGGCAAGTCAATTGTCCAGCAGAAAAAATACCGGGAACATATATCATGGTACAACTCAAAATGGGGAATTGCATCGAACATCATTTTTGTCACTGATGCGACAAATGTGGAAATGTCATCCACGTGTCTACCATAAAACATGTTGAAAGCTTTACTGAGGAACTCCTTTTGCGTAAAGGTCTCCTCGCAGCTGGTCATCTACAAAGGCTATCGTCTATATTATCAAACATTAAACGCGATTCATGTTTTGTTTTATGGCCTTCAAGCATTCGTCAATACCTTGATTATGATATTTGGGAGAAATAAAGGGTAGTGTCGTTATAAGAAAGGTGACGGTGGCACCTTTATGCTGGAAAGTAATATTTGTTGCTATGAAAAATTAAGAATTTGTTTAACTATTATTGGCATTTTCAATTAACACTGTTACAGAACTTCTTCCAAATGAATATGAGAGATCGTGATTTTCATGAGTTCAAGTTTCATTGAAGGTCGTTGAGGTACATAATGACCCAAATGGATTTCAATTTCACATCCAAATCAGTGAAAGGCTTACAATGTCTACAAATGCAGTTTTGTATGCGTACCTAAGCCGAGGTGAGGTGAAATAGGATTTTAATGTCACGTTCACGATTATTGTACTGCTGTACTAGTGCAAACTTATGCCGGATTTATAGCTTAGACCACTGATATACCATGGCGCAGTGTAACACGGATTCTCCACTCAGACACAGTATACTGACTCAAGGTAGACCAGCCCTGTTTCATCTATTAAATGCAGAGCGTCAGACAGGGTAACAAGTTTGACGCAATTAGGGAATCAAACCACCGACATTCCGCTCTCCGGACAGAGGCTATGTCCACTAAATCACCGAGACGGTATAGTCTCTTCTAGAGAAGAAAGAGAAACAAGTAACGTTTGTCGTCTACATCCTGCCACAAAGAGTACCAACTGTAATAAAAACACTTTGCGGAAATAAGATTGTTTTTGCAAGGTGGATAGTGCATACCTACAGTCAAACACCGTTGTGTCGAAGTTGAAGGGAATTATGTAACTGTTTCGAGTTATCCGAGGTTCGAGGGTGTATTTTAAGTTTTATCAACTCCAGAGAGCCTGAAATTTGAGGCTTTTCGTTTTTGCGTCACAATGACGAGTGGTGTAGAATTAAGCCTTACAAGACTGGCTTAAGCCTCTCTAAGTCTCGAAATACCTTTACGAAATAGCTATGCTGCAAACGTTCAATGCCTGTAATATATGAGAGTAAAGTATAATGATATAAAAGGCCAATGTTTGAGCATACACAGCGCCATACTTTGTTGAAAGGTTATCATCAGAGTTTCCTTGTATAATCAGGCCGAATCTGGTAGTCGAACCAACAAAT